GGGGGGGGGACAGAGGATCCTAGCCCCTATTATAATACATGGTGTTTTGGGCTTTTAACTTTTTTGATTATAAAACGTATTCCCCGTCTCTAAAAGATTGCTACAATTTGACTTTTTTGATCAAACTGTGGAACCCTTTAATTATGAATTAATATAGTTGAAAATAGTTAAATATAATAAGAATTTGTTATTTCAAAACTATATTCTAAAATAAATATAATTTTACTAAATTTACATTATAACTAAATATTCTTTGTCCTTAATTCACGGTTAAATAATGTCACAATTTGACCAACAAAGTCAAATTGTGGCAATTGTATAAGAAGGGAGGGAGTAGATGTTTTGTTCAAATAAAAAGATAAAACCTTTATCACATATTCACCAAGATGAAAGAGCTGAGACACTATTGGTCTATTGCAAATGATTGGGGACCACTTTCCACCGAAGGTAGGGTGCTCTTTGCGGTAAATTGACAATCGATCCAAAATTTGTCCAGTTTCATCTATAAAAGAATGAGATGAATACATTAAAAGGAAAGTAATATTTAGGATAGTCTTAGAAATAGTTCTTATTTTCTTTAAATTAAAAAATAGTGTAGTTGGTATTTTTTTATCATTTGTAATTTTTAATCACAACTGAACAAAAAAGTCTCTCTATTCACAAACAACTGAACAAAAAAGTCTCTCTATTCACAAAGTTGATGATTCTTATTTCGCCAATACCCACGTTTCATACTAAACCCCCACCCCAACCATTAGCCCCTCTAATGACAATACATTTGGAAGGGTGGAGGGGATTGGGTGAGAGGTTTACGGGTGTTGTGAGAATATGAATAATTGATTTTGGAAATTGAACAATGTAGGTGCTTCAAATAAAGCATTGGCACAAGCCGTGGAACTCGCCGACTAACAAATTTGCTTTCTTAATAAGCTCTCAAGTCAAATTGGGAAATATATTTTGGGTTGAGAGAATAGTACTCTCGTAGTTTCTTAAAAGTGGAGTATTTTATGGATTGTAAAATCTTACATAGGACGTACTCTTTTAAAACTTAANATGCAAGAGAACTACGAGGCTTGGGTGAAGGGGTTCGCACCTCTGGCGGTGGGAGCGGATGTGCCGGAGGCAGTTCAGGAGTTTACAAGGACCCTCTTCAACATGAGGCCGGACATAACCCTCTTCGTATCCCAGACAGTGTTCAATAGTGACCTGAGGGGGGTTTTGGGGCTGGTCAAATGTCCTTGTCACATTGTGCAAACAGCAAAGGATGTGTCAGTTCCGGCGTCGGTGTCAACGTACCTGAAGAACCACCTCGGAGGGCGGAACACGGTGCACTTGTTGCCTATAGAGGGTCACTTGCCACACTTGTCTGCACCAGCTTTGTTGGCCCAAGTGTTGAAGAAAGCCTTGTCCCCTGGGCTGGGAAGTCAGTAGTTGTTGGCACATCCTTTGCACCAGCTTTGTTGGCCCAGTTTATCTAGCATATATAGTGTGTACGACTACTTTATATTTACTAAGAGTGTTCATCGGGTAAAACCCAGACTGGACAGGCTCGGTACCGAAGAAGAGCTATTTTGTGGGTGAGGACCGGACTAATTAAGGTAAGGATTGGCCCGGATCGGGAACAGTAAAACCCGAACCGAATCGGAAAGCACCGAATAAAAATATTACTACAAATAATTTTTAATGTGTAACATTAAACATTGTCAAACAGTGTTGTTTTTAATTTTTAAAAAAGTTTAAATAAAATATATATCCCCTATCCCTATTACATAAAATTTGTTCGTAATTTTTATTTCTGTAATACTTTTTTGTGTTTTCGGTTTATTTTTGAAAACAGATACGTTTTTTATTAGTTTTGTTCATGAGGTTGTTTACAATGTTTATTATTGATAAAGTACAAACTTAAGTTATATCACTAACTAGTTTTCTACCCCATGCTTCGCACGGGCTTGGGATGTGTTCACGTGTCTATTAATTAAGATTATCATTGTTAGACTTTTTTGGTAAAACTATGTAATATTTTGATTACAAATTAAATACAGTTTCAAATAATTAAATATCATAAAATTCTAATTTATGAAAACAGTACTTTAAATGGAATTTTTTTTATAAAGTTACACACTTTGCCGTCAAAGTATAGCACAACTTGACTAAAAATATCAAACTCTTATTAAATGATATACTATTGAAATTTGCTTTAACTAATGAAAAAATAAAATAAAAATGCCAAAAAAATTAAGGTAATGATAAATCATTGAAAAATACATATGCGGTATATATGGCCTATATGTCATGTGTTATCCTTCAAGAAAAACAAATTAACTTAATTTAATTTGTTGAAATGATATATAGCAAATTAAATAGTGTTACAGATAAAACATTTTGAAATAAAATACAATATATAGTTAGTAAATATATAGTTAATCAAATATATATAGTTATTTGGTAAATAAAATAACAATATACTTTTCAAAAATAACAAAATAAAATAAATGATGGATTGTTTTCAAAAATATATAAAATGTTATTTTTCGAATTAATAAAGCACTTTAATATTCTTTGCTCGTATAATCATATAATTATGCAGAAGATTACTCGCGGATGACGCGAGTTTTGTTGAAATAACTTTTAGGTCTCTCTATTTTCAAGAGGACAACCGAGGTTCTTATGTTTTGTTGTAATGACTGGGAGGAGACATTTCATCCAATACCGAGGTCCAATGTTGTAATAAATGTATTTGTTTCCTATTTTTTCAATACCGTTTTTTCCTATTTTGCAATTACCTTGTTTTTTCTTTTTTTAATTTTTTTTATTTCATTTGTTTTAATATAATACAAACAATTTTGAATTTTGAATTTTTATATGATTTTACTGAAGAAATTCTAAAATAACACTTTAAAAAATGGTAACAAAATGAAAGAAAAACAAAGATTTAAAAAAACGAGCGACCTAAGATTTATTACCTTAAAACATTTAGAAAA